CGCCGCCGCTCCATCCGCGATCAAAACTACAAAGAGCGGCGTCTGTCCAGCGCAGCGCCTCAGTGACGCGGGTGGCCATGGAGTAGGCGGCAGAGTCGAGGTCTTCGCCAGCTGCGGACGTCAAAGAGCGTTCACCTCTGGCGGCGGTGTCGGCGGTGGTGTCGCCTGCCTGCAAGCCGCGGTCGCCTTACCACCCCGTCCACCACTACCAACACCCTTTCAAGAGCCCGTGGAAGAGCGTAATCGCCCGAAACGTCGGCTTTTAACCGCGTTGTCGCTACGTGTGCCGGCGCTTCGCGGCCACAACTCGCAAGCGCGGAGAGCAACGCGGGGCTTCTCTGCGCGGGGTTTAAGAGGGGACAGGGCAGTGCTGCTGTACCCATCTCCCCTACAACTTCTGGTATGTCTGTGTGTGTCTGTCTGTGTCTGTCTGTGTGTGTGTCTGTGTGTGTGTCTGTGTGGTGGGACAGGGCAGTGCTGCTGTACCCATCTCCCCTACAACTTCTGGTATGTGTGTGTCTGTCTGTGTGTCTGTCTGTGTGTGTCTGTGTGTGTGTCTGTGTGTGTGGTGGGACAGGGCAGTGCTGCTGTACCCATCTCCCTTACAACTTCTGGTATGTGTGTGTGTCTGTGTGTGTCTGTGTGTGTGTGTCTGTGTGTGTGTCTGTGTGTGTGGTGGGACAGGGCAGTGCTGCTGTACCCATCTCCCCTACAACTTCTGGTATGTGTGTGTGTGTCTGTGTGTGTGGTGGGTATGTGTGTGTGTCTGTATGTGTGTGTGTGTGGTGGGTATGTGTGTGTCTGTATGTGTGTGGTGGGTATGTGTGTGTGTCTGTGTGTGTGTCTGTGTGTGTGGTGGGTATGTGTGTGGGGGGTATGTGTGTGTGTCTGTGTGTGTGGTATGTGTGTGTGATGTGTGTGTGGTATGTGTGTGTGGTATGTGTGTGTGGTGTGTGTGTGTGTGTGGGGGGTATGTGTGTGTGGTGTGTGTGTGGGGGGGGGGGTATGTGTGTGTGTGGTATGTGTGTGTCTGTGTGTCTGTGTGTGTGGTGGGTATGTATGTGTGTCTGTGGTATGTGTGTATGGTGTGTGTGTGGGGGTATGTGTGTGTGTGTGGGGGGGTATGTGTGTGTGGTGTGTGTGTGGGGTATTTATTTACACCCCAGAGCGCGCGGTTGTTCTTGAGACGAGCGAAGCGCTGTTCGGGAAGCCGGCGACCTGGGATCGCATCAGTCGCACGCATTTGGCGTCAGCGTGTCCCTGGCGCTCCCCCCCGAGGTCGACTTGAATGAGGCTTCTCGGGTGTGTGTGGGGTGTGTGTGTGGGGTGTGTGGGGTGTGTGTGGGGTGTGTGTGTGGTGTATGCGTGGGGTGTGTGTGTGTGGGGTGTGTGTGTGTGGGGTGTGTGTGGGGTGTGTGTGGGGTGTGTGTGTGTGGTGTGTGTGTCTGTATGTTTGTGTGTCTGTGTGTGCGTCTGTGTGTCTGTGTGTGTGTCTGTGTGTGCCTGTGTGTGTCTGTGTGCCTGTGTGTGTCTGTGTGTGTGCCTGTGTGTGTGCCTGTGTGTGCCTGTGTGTCTGTGTGTGGGTCTGTGTGTGCCTGTGTCTGTGTAGCGGTTAGCGCGCTGCGCTATGAACCTGGCGACCCGGGTTCGATTCCCGCTCACGGCCAACACCAGTGACGATTATCTGAACCGGTCCCGGGCCTCCCCTAGGTCGACTCAGCCTCAAATGAGTACCTGGTGCGGTGTGTAAACATTGCCACTAGGGAGACAAAGGCGGTCGGGCGTGGTGCTGGCCACCCACCCCCTCGTGTACCGTTCCGGCCTTCATAGGTGCTCGCTAACAGCACTTGCCCCTACAGTCTGTTAAGGCTATACGGGGGATCTTTGTCTTTGTGTGTCTGTGTGTGCCTGTGTGTCTGTGTGTGCCTGTGTATGCCTGTGTGTGTGTCTGTGTGTGCCTGTGTGTGTCTGTGTGTGCCTGTGTGTGTGTCGCTGGCTCTGCGCAGTTGTTATCGGGCATGTGTGGTGGTTATTACAGCACTCACAATGCTTGTGACGTTTAGTTTCGTCATCAGCAGCAGCAGCCATGGTCAATCCACTGCTGGATGAAGGCCTCCACGGCCTGCGCCAATGATCCATGTTTTGCAAGAGTAGAAGTTTAGTTTCAGTATTCTCCGAAGCGTTCCCGACAGACATGTGGGTGGATGGGGGTGGGGGCTTTTCAGTCGATGCCCATCGGAGCCGGCGTGCTGAGTAACCGACTTGTGCACGGTGGCGCGCCGCCGTTTTGCTGTTGACAAAGTTCGTGGTGGTTTAAAAAACAACACCAAACAAAGAAGACCAGCGTTCCCGTGCGGTTATACAATAGACGCGACAAGGATGAGTGAGTATGTGGGTCTCGCTGATAGATATTCACGGGCGGCGGCGCGGTTAGCGAACACTGAGCCATACACCCGGCGCACCAGAGTTCGATTCCCGGCCACGGCTAACACCAGTGGCAAAAAAGCATTTTAACCGGTCCTGGAGAAGAACCACTTTTCACCCAAACCGCATTGGCTACAGTGGTGAAGTATGGCCAACTCCCTCCACTCCCATCCTCGTCTCCACAGGCCCAGGGCAGGCACGGCATGGTTTCGTCTTTCATCCGGCATCGTTTTGACATTTGCCCAGGATGGATGTGCAATGTGCGCACCTCCGATTAGCGCGGTGGCTACGGCATGGTGCGCGCGAAAGACGTTGAACGCGTAACGAACGAAACGGGTTCGCTCTCATTCAGCGCCCATCACGCGCACCTTTGACGCACACTTTGACGCGATTCTGCTGCTGCTGCGGCGGTCAGATAACGGAGAGCGATCTCGCAAACACGTGGTGGACCCCTTTCACCTCTATGTTAGCATTCCCCGTAGCTGCCGACACGAATTTCTCACCGATAACGCCACCTTTCTGGCGGGGTGCGGCGTTGTGGTTTGCGCACCGCATCATGAACTCGGCCACACATAACCCAAGTTCGATTCCAGGCCACGGCTAACAATCAGCGGGCGAGCGGGTCATCGTGAACCAGCCCCCCCCCACTCCCTTTCACCGATACGCACCGACCGGCGTGGTGAAGTATGGTCAAACAATCCCCTAAGTCCGACACGGCGTGGGGGAGGCTTTCGTGCGGCAGTACATTGATGGGGAGCACGGCACGACGGTTCCGCCCTTGTTATGAAGGTGCAGCGGCACGACAGCACAGCGATGATTCGTTCTCGCTCTGGGGTAACGTCAGCGCATGACTCAACTACGACAGGATGCAGATTTCAGTCTCTGCGTCAATGGTACCGCATCGCATCTATAAACCCTGCACAGTGAAGGCGCTTGCTGTAAATCGCTTCGCGGTGACGTTGGGAGATTCTGTGTTTCCATAGCCATTACAATGGGCAGCATACTTAAACATGTGCGTATATATGCAACCATATAACGCCTCGGCCGGTCAACAGCAAGTCCCGCCGACCGCACCTCAGCCATGCTTATTGAAGATATCGCAACTCAGCCATGCTTATTGAAGATACCGAAACTCAGCCATGCTTATTGAAGATACCGCAACTCAGCCATGCTCATTGAAGATGCGAGTCCAGAGTCAACAAGAGTGGCTCCGCAGTTCGCCACGTGCGCACACACACACACGGAGGGCGGCGGTGTTCCCGAGTGGCTGACTCCTCCTCCATCCTCCCGAGTCCAATGAGCCTCGGCCGTTTACAGTCGAGGACTCTCCTCGCTCGCCTCGCCGCATTTTCAATCGCACCCCAAGCGCCTCCCCCTCCGCCAAATGCCTGAGTATCTCGACTCTTCGAATGATCCGGCACGAGATCGCCGAGTTTTATTGACGTACTGTGGCATTCTCCGAGTGTACATACAGGTGGCGGCCTGCGCGCGATGCTACATTGTGCCCCTCTCGCTGTTGTTCCAGTCACCGATCACGTCTCTTGAGTGTCGGGAAGACGCGAATCCGGGTCAAATAATCGTCGTCAGCGTCGTCATCCTAATCAAGTGTGTGGCAGAGGACACGCAGCGCACCGAGCACGCCGGCCCTAATGACAGGTGAGTCACGATGCACTGGGTCGGGTCTTGGGCGTCTCGGCTTTCATTGCATTCTGCGCCGAGTCAGCGGCTCGTGACTCGCCTTGAGTCACGCGTGCCCAGCGCTCCCCACCCTCCCCGACTCCGTGTTTCACAATTCTATGGAAGCGCCTATTTCGTAGACGCGCGCACTGCCTATATAGTACGTCTATGCATATCGCACATCTATCTCTGTATATAATATGTGCGTACATGATGTGTACCGGTGGCACTCACTAACGCGTCCCGAGAGGAGCCCTTCCACCAAATGAGACGGAGCGATGAAATCCGCCGATTTGCGTGCAGGCGCGAGCTTGATCGTGGACATCGAACTATTGTGAGAGGTCGTAACGGGTTGGTGATGTATCCACATCCAGCGGTCATCTGATGATAGCGGACGGGGGATGAATGTGTCTAAACTCGCGCGCGAGGACACCCACGGGCAGACGTATAGAACGCTGGAGCGAGTCACCTACTCAAGCCGGGAGAGCACACCAATTGGCGTTGTGGCCTGAAACCAGGCTCGACTGCCTTTGTCTCCCGAGTGTTCGATTTGTGTACCGCACCAGATATAGGCAACTCGTTTCTAAGGGCCGAGTTTAACTAGGGGGAAGCCCAGAGCAGGTTTATTATACCACTTGCCACACTGACGCTAGTTAATGCGTGATCGACGGATTCGTTATCGCAAGAGCGAAGCGAACCAGCCAGCGCGCGCGAACCACCGCTCACGTCTCTACAACAGGAAAGTCCCCGTGTGTGGTAGCCCAGCCAAGCTGCGTCCACACACACGTGAATATACCGCGCGCACACAATACACGCAAGCACATATGTATATATACAAAGTGCGCACGCGTACATACACACGCGCACACACACACACGCGGGAGATGCGCACCACTCACTTGCGCGTGGTCGGTGGGCGCTTTCAGTCCGGCGAGCACGTTTCATGTCGACACTATAGGCTGCTTAAAAAAAAGTAGTTAATGATAACGAGCCGAAGCGAGGGAGCACAGCACGAACACTCGCAGGTAGTTTGTTAAAGCGCCGCGCAAACACAAAACAGTGTCCCGTGGCAGCGATCGAGGGAGGCTTTTTTAGAAAGTGAACGAACCGTTGCCGCGTTGGCGTGGGGCAGTTACACCACCACCACCGCACGCAGTCTCGCTTGCGCATTCTAGTTTGGGCAAGTCGCGCGTTATCCAGCCGCCTTCAGGATTGCGCTTCCCTTGCGAAAACGCAACTCGCGGAGGCCTTGCGCAAGTGTCGCTGTCTCCGGGTATCGTGCGCAGACGGGGAGGAAGTTCGCAGGGCACTGAAGACAAGGAGACCGGGTGGGCGGCGAGTATCATAACCCCCACTGCACAATGGAACGCGCGCGCATTAAACAATTGACTACCGACAATTACGCACGCACGCACGCGTTCTGAAGCTGTGAAGTGACACGTTCCGAACACGTGTGCGGAGGATGAAGCGGCAGCATTAACACAGCGCGTGTCTGTGTGCGTGTGTATCGACCCGGTCCGATATAATCAATAATCATCACCACCGCGACGCAACATCTACAATTCATCGTCGTCATGAGCACCAAACATCATCAGTGCAGTTTATTTCTTCATATCTGTACCGACTCCTCCACCATCAACCATGAAAATATCGACTCTGAAGTCACGATAAAACGAGTACTCTATCACCACTTTGTGTGTGAGGAGCCATTCTAGTATCTGTACTCTGGACATACTTGCCCGCGAAGTGAGCGTAGAATTACCAACATTGTCTCAGAGGGATGCTGTGCGATTTTAATTGTCAGCGTTCACGCTCCAGCACTCATGTGTGTATTGGGGGGGGCGGTAGCGTAGCGGTTAGCGCTACGAACCCATTCGATTAGATTCTCACTCACGGTCAACACCAGTGACAATTATCTGAACTGGGCCTCACCTAGGTTGCGTCAGCTTCAAAATAGCACCTGGTTTGGTGTGGAAAATCATCGCCACTGGGGAGACAAAGGCGGTCGGGCGTGGTGCTGGATACCCACGTGTGCCGTGCCGGCCTTCATAGGTGCTCGCTCACAGCACTTGCCCCAACAGTCTGTTAAGGCTAAACGGGTAGCCTGATCACATCGGTGAGTTCACTCAGGTGAGGTGTGACGATTACAAGCTCTGCGTGTTTAGAGCCGCGTTATCGCAAGTTGCGCAAGGGTTATCACGTTGAGTCAGGAGCGGTGACACGGGCATTTGACTAGCACGTAGCTTTCATTGCTGCATCGGGGCTTGCATTAAAGAGCATTGTCAAGGCGTAATCGAGGCAGGATTTTACGGCTCATTGCTTTGGTGTGGTGTGAAAGTGCAGATACGTGGGAATGGCGTTCATCACATTTCGTAGAAGTCAATCGCCACACACCGCGCGTGCGTGTGTGTAATAAGGGATTGCCGCCGCCGCGTGAGCGGTGCTGCCATTGCAGTGACGCGGGTTCCCGACAGGTTTTGTCGCAATTGGCAATCCCCAGAAACGCGTGTCGCATTAACATAAACTACTCATGAGCACGCGCTCATTCATGCGAAGAGGTAACCGCGATTATTGAAGTCAGGAACGCACGCGGCCGAGTGGCTATAACAGCGAGGTTATGGCTGAAAATAAAAGAACCCACGCGCGCAGAAACCTCAACAAGACGACTGCGTAAAATGTGTAATCTTTCAGCCACGTTCAATACACTGTTGTACGAAGTTCTCCCAAAGTTGCCGACGCCACCATCGCTCACGATCCTTAAAATGTGAGCGGGTCCACCAAGAGCGACCACACGGATTTCGGCCACCACAATCTCCCCAATTCATTGACCCCCTCCCCCCCCCCCCCTAACATTTCTCTTTAAAATAAACCTTACTTTAAAACTATCCGAACAAGTTTTGCACGATGCCATGGACCCGCGCATGTTCTCGTATAGTCCACGCGTGGCTACAAATCAAGTCTATCCCTCGTCTGTCGTGGAACGGTCATCGGCGATTTAAAAACAAACAAACCGAGCTGGCGTTGCGTGTTGCCTGCCACACGCCGAACGCTTTGCGGCACCGGCCTCTTCTTTCCAGGCTCGATCGGTAATTAACGAGACGCGCCTCCGCCTCGTCCGCCTCTCGGTACAAGTCCGGGCAAGCCCCCAGAACAATGCGAGCACTGTACACTTTGCGAGCCAACATCGGCTTTCTTGCGAGGGGAAAAAACACACACACACGCACGCAAGCAACACGACTTTTCCGATTATAAAACGAACTGCTGTGATACGACGGGCCGTGTTTACTTGCCTACCCGACGCCCCGGTTAGGTGGATGTTACGCGCACGCACGCACACACACTCGCATTATTAGCAAGGGCGATGGATCATTGTCCATGGTGGTCTCAAAGTGTCTTGTGACCCCCGTTTAATTCTCTAACACTTAATATTTTTAAAGTAATGCTTTAAAAAAAAACCCATAAATGAATATGCAAAGGATAAAAATTTAAAATGTTTTGGGGTCAATTAATGGGGGGGGGGGTCACAAAACGTCTGGACCACCCTGTACAATCCTCATAACCAACGTGGAAAAGTAGGCCAAATACCCTGCCCTGTATTGAGGCTCTGGAGTTACATCCTGTCGAGGCCTTTCTGCTTGCAGTGGCGTGAGCAAGCAATTGCAGGGCCGCACCTTTACCAAAATGCTACCAACATCACCCAAAATGTTCGACAGATCTCGGAATCTTAAGCATTTTCACCCAAGCTAGTACTTCGATTGGTGATCAACAGGGCTTGCCAGGTGCTGTAGGTGCGGGGATGGGAGGTGTGGCCAGGAGATGGCAGTGCGAAGCGTCACCCCCCTCGTAAGCGTGGTGGCTTTTCTTCTGGGTTTCTCTCGTACGAAGACAAACGAGTGGCATTCATTCGTCGAGACGTCCCAACGTTGCGGGGCCCTCGTGACGACGAGTCTTGTATGGGGCGCGGCGAGGCTTCATAGTTTATACAATGGATAAACAATTGTCACGGCTATTGCCATTACAGTACAACCGTTACATTGAAATACGGTAAATGAAGGGACACCCGTTTTGCGCCGTTGCACACGCGGGTTACGTTGGGAGCGCGCGGCGGCCCTGACTGGCAGTGTTGTTTTTGTGGGTTAACATTTAACTTTGTGGTCGGCGAGGTGGAGTGGAGGGGAGGGTGAACTTGTCACCGACACCTGCCCGGCTGCCTCGTGTGAAACAAGGCCGCTTGCTGCTGCTGCCAGATCCGGGTAACACAGATGATAGCGCAGTTGACTTGTGTCGGATTCAGTCGGTTAATCGCAGCCCCTCGAAGGCCGACGAGACATGCAGACATGACAGAGCGTGTGGATTGTAGAGCCCGTCGTTCCGAAAACATTTTTGAATGGTCTCCCACACGCCGAATCGTCCAATGGGAGGTTGTTTCGACCACACTTCACCACGCCGTTTGGCTGCGGATTGTAGAAAGGAGTAATTAAACTCAGTGTAGCTGTTGTTTTATCCTGAACTTCTTTCGCACCGTACGTAGCCAACCGTGCCAAATTGAGGTTCGAGGTTAACACTAACTCTAACCACTGTCCACCTCTCCACCCCAAACCTAACAATAACACACGTGCCCTATAGAATTGATTAAATGGTTATTAAAAATGCAGGCGTATGCAACATTTGGGCGGGGAGTTCATCACGTCACGGCGAAGTGCGTGTCACGTCGACTTTTTGTCATGTAGTCCATCGCATTTTTAATGAGGGCACCGTACACAATGCAGCTCAACCTTCTCGCGCTCTGTTCAACTTGGGCGTGCACTGCAGTCATTTAATGCCTGCGGATTTCTCAGCGTTCTGCTCGACAGAGCTGCGAAAACAAGTTTGAGTGTTCGATCCCGAAAACGCATAACTGGATTCATCCATCCGTTCAAAACACTATTTTCTTTCTTGTTGTCGTTGTTGATAAACGTAACGTCTTAACATATCACAGGTCACACAAAAATTGCACCCATTTGTCAAACGCGGGACATTAAAAATGCGGATTGAATGTATCTACGCAGAGTGATATCCCCACGAAAATGTGGGGTTCCTCCCCACAATTCGAAACACTTGTAAGAGTGGATGTTTCCTAGAGACATGACACTGGTGAGACTTTCCCGGGTGAAATAAAGGACATGTTTGCGTCTGTCAATATCAGTCACATTTGTGCATTTTGTTGAATTCAGTGGGGGGCCTTGTATAGCATATATATATAAAACCCCACACCATACAAAAGTCAAAGACACACACACACACAAACACGCGAGAGCCCAGGCTGGGTGCACGAGATGAGATTGTCTCTGCTTCCCAGCCTGTGTTCTCCGCGGTTTTGGGTGGGAGTGTTGGTATTTGACGCGTTTAATGATTTGGTCGCAGTCGTGCGCTCTCGGCTGCGAGATTTCATCAGCCACCTGCTCCGTGCTGCCAAACTCGAACCGCTTCCGTCTCGTGTAGCTCTGGGAACGGCTAACAATTCCAGTGTTTGTAAACAAGCGTTCGTTCCGCCACCCCCCACTCCACCACCACCGCCACCACCGCCACCAAAACCCAGTCCAACCAGGCCGTTCCACTGTGCCCAACTTACTACTCCGGCCAAAACCTCACCCCGGGAAGGAGAGACCCCCCCTGCTGCCCCCATACCACCAACTCCCTTCGAGCCCCAGGCCCACCCTCCCCAACACGAACTTTACACAGAGGTCTGGCTGCTGGCCAGTGTATAACGTCCCTTCAACAGCATTGCCCCAGACCACATCGGCTAACGTGCAGAGACGAGGATTGTTTTCACAACAGGCTACCGCTGCGTGTACGCGCGACGCGAAACACTCGCGCATGCAGCATGCCGATGCATTCAAAATAACATCTTGCATTTGTCCAGCTGTGTAAAACAAAATGCCTGCTTTAAATGTTGACATTAAAACGCATTCTTGCAAAATAATAAGCATACCCTTGTGGGTTTCGGGTTTGGCAGGCTACCAGAGTGGAGAGGGACGTTCTCAAAAGGTTAGGATGACCTCGCTTCTAGTTATAAGCGTGTGCAGCTGGGATCGTGCCATTACTTTACGGAGTGTTTATATTTATTAAAATAAGGATGATGGCTTTATTTTAGTTTGTTCTCGACCTATATTGTTATTTCCGCAGGGCTTGAGCAGATCAAATGCAGATAAATTGCCACAGCTTAAATTGAAACGAATCAAATAAATTACTGCCTTAATTGGCTGGCTCATGCTGGAAAGTTATCTCAAATTGTACCACCGTACAACGCATGCACTTCTCAAAACCCAGGAACACAGTGTGCCACCACAATCGCTCTGTGATCTCGGTGAACAATCCTGTTTGATAAGTTATGTGAAACGATGTCAGATTAAAAGGTTCCCCCCCCACTGGTCTTAACCTCCCCCTTCCCCATTATGTAACCACAGGACCCCCAAGGGACGCCCCCTGGTTAAGTGGGTTGTTGCTGATCAACACAATCGTAGATTTAACAAAAAAAGGGGTCCAATATAGTCCAAGGGCTTCCCCCCCCCCCCACACTTGCTTCGGTTGTTGCCGGCCTGCAAGTAAAAAAAACACACCAATAAGCTGATTTGTGTTGTCTTTAAAGAATTACCCCGAGGTTTCGAACAAAACACAAAAAGGCACTGCGTTTACACATTGTGACATTTTTTTTTAAAAAAACATCAGCAGTTCCTGAAGAACTGCAATGTGGTCATCTTGACCTAGGTCACCATCAAAATAAATGTAAGGAAATGTGACTACCTGAAAGGTGGCACTAAGACAACTGTAGACTCGATTCAACCTTATTAGGATTCATCAGTAGTCACCAATGCTCAGGGTTGGGCATTGGTGAATATAGTTTTCTAGCATCTTCTTAGAAGCCCACAATTAAGCACGTTGCACATAGCGTGCAGCGACATTTACCCCACGTGGCATGTCAACCTGTAACACAATTATGTGCGTAGCTTGACACTCAAGTTCGCCTTTTATTATCCTGGTGGATTACATTGGTTGTCAGTATCGATGCACGAGGCCCATGTGGGGAACCTTAATCATGCACAATGCCAACACACCTGGGGTTGCACAAAAAAAGTGGCGCTAAGCAGTTCTTAGACAATTCCACACCAAAGTAGAACACTTCAATGGATCCCGCTTAGATGAACGGATCATATTAAACCCTTGCAGATTTGTAATGTAATTAGCTGACGAATTTGCAGGTAGGGGTACACGTTGAAGACGTGATCTTAACCAGTATCTGTAAAGCTGTTATATAGATATGCACTATCTAGGCTGTGTATTTGTACATGGTTTACAGCTTGATAAATAACTTTTTTTTTAAACGATGGTCTTTCACGCAGGCATGGGTCTTTAAGTGATACCACCGCTTTAACCATCACAAGTGATACGATGGAATGACTGGTCTTAACTTTAAAATATATTTAAAAGCTATAATGGCATGTCAGACAACCTGTAACACAACGTAAGTACATATCTACAAAGACTCTTTGTATTTTGGGTTTCTGTGTCACTGTATACATTGTTACGTCACTATTCGTCAAACCATGACAAAACAAGTTTTCATGGACATTTTATAACATTGTAAGTGGTTCCTGTGTGTATCGTGGTTATCGCACCCCGCTATGAACTTGCTTACCTAAGTTATATTCGTAATTATGGCTAACATCAGTAGCAAATCACGTGAACTGATCCAGGGCCTGAACTGTAATCCTTTTCACTAACGCACCAACAAGTGCGGTAGTGCAGTCAAACAAAACCCCTTGCCTGACAGTGTGGAAGGCCTACATTCAGTAGCGGTTGATAAAAGGGCTGTTACGCTTCACTTCATACAGTGATCTAAAACACTGTGCATCCAATGTTGCTTTGGCACAACTACATGCATCCTAGTGTCCCAATGCCATAGTGGTGTTCTTCATTGCAAGGCCTAGGGGCCACTGGCAGCCCCTTATGTGTGGCCTCCGATAGTACACAAATGTGAAAACGCCCCATCATGTTGTCAAACACAACGGGTTCAAATGTGTGGCAGCTCTCACACTGATGTCTTATCGTTGAAAGTGCCCCCACCTCTGAAAATTCGTTAAGAACACTGCCATAGTGCAAAACCGAGTCTGCTGAAACAGAGTTTCAACGAAGACGAATCTGGCGAAACCAAGTTGGGGAAAAACAAGCAGGTGGCTCCAAGCTCTTATAGCTTTGATGATCCGTCACTTTTCCAGGGACACTCACACCGAGGTTGCGGCAATCTTCGGCAGGTCCAGGGCGGGAGGCGGCGGCGGTGGCGGCGGCGGAGGCAGAGCGGCAGGGCGGCGCGGTGGCGTGCCACTGGCCCGAGCCCGAGATTCAGCCTCGCGAGCGCTCGCAATCGGACGCCTCCATGCTGGTGGGCCGCGAGCTACGCAGGCTTAGCGACCAGTTCCACGTCGAGCACCAAGCTCAGGTGAAACCCGACTTCTCTGGCTGCGCTCGTGTTGTTCCTCTTTGGGTTGTTGCCGTGACGAGTGCAGCTACTGCTGTCAAAAACGTCTATCGTGAGCAACTGTCGACGTCGTGCGAATGTAAAGGGCACCATAATGCTGTGCACTTACGTAAAGCAAATGGCTTATTATTAAACTGGCGAGTTTTATTGTCTAAATATTGTAAATGAAACCGCATCAAGAAAATGCAAGAACATATCAGCATTATGAGATCCTAGGGAAGAGGGATTTGTTTTTAAGAACAGGTAACTTAGTATACAGAGGAAAGATGACTTGTATTGACTAACACATTTGGATATAAATGGAAATGGTCACTTGCAGATGACAAGGTCTTAATCCTGTACATGAAGAAGCTGTGGGTTGTTAAAGAGTATTGGTACAGAAATCAACTTTTCAGTGATATTCACTATCAATTACTTCACCTGGCCCATTCTGAATGCTTGTAAGGATAAGACTCCTCTCGTCCAAAGTTCTGCAAGCAAATGCATAGATGACTATCTTCTGATGTGCATCAGATGGCATACAGCAGTGGCATATCCACTCTTAGGAGGCTATAAGCACAAAAATAATAGCACTCTATCAAGCTAAACTAAAAAACTAAACTATTTTAAAATTTTCAGGTAAGGCCCACAGCTATACAGCTCTTTTTCAAAAGTGACCTTGCCACAAATGATAGCTCAACGAAGTGGCTTATCATGTGGACATTTATGGCAGCCAAAGACTCTAAACGCCTGGTGATGTTGCTTCTAAATGTGGAGGAAAAATCTGGAGGACCCGGAGAAACATCCACGCAACCACGGGAAGAGAGACATGCAAACTCCAAATATACAGCAGGCGTCAGGGTCGGGATTGCATCCACAACCTTCTGTATACCAGGCGAGGTAGTTAACATCGCACCACCATGGTGCCCACATGCACATCTGGATAAAACAGCCGAAATGTCGCTTTGGAAATTTTACCCACTGCTTGTTATGGAGACAAAGCCGCGTTTTCTCCCAAGATCACAATGAACATTTAACAGCATGCGAATCAGGACCATCGTGTTTTGAACAACGTCTTATTTCAAATTTGGACAATCGGGTGTTTTGTGGGCTAGGCAGTGTAGCGTTCAGTTAAGGCGTGTGGGTAATCTCGTGAATTGTGCCCTTTCAACAAGATATTTTTGTAAATTAGCTGTTGGCTCTGATTCGAAGAACCGACAGCTGATGAATGGGTCTGGAGCTTGTAAGAAATAAATGGATATTAGCTGTGTTCTGCTTTCCTTGGAAAGAGGCCAATGCAAAGATTCAACACGAAAAACAGGATGGGTCTCCAGCAGAGTCCTGCAGTGCACGTTTCTGAAGAGACAAGATGATAAAAAAAATAACAAATTATACATGTCAACAGTTTGGTTATTAGCACCCCAATGTGACCATGCATCATCTCCTAATGTGCATGAAGTCATGTCAAAATCAGAGATCTGGCAGCAATAAGGCCAGTGGCTTTCGTTTATGGTTGTGGGGAGGGGGCAAAACTGGAACATGTGTGGGGTTGTGAAGACCATCAGATAGGTTTACACCACAGCTGGGAAAATTCCAACCATTACCGCTGTAAGCTGCTCCGATTTCAAGATGGTTTTTTTCCTATCAACCAATAATGAAAAAATTTCCACGCATTTCATTTTTTTTAAAGTGCACATTTAATCAGAGATAATGTTCAATAACCTATTTTTGTCAAGACCTGAATACCATTTTGAATCGGGCACTTTAAATGCCAGCCTTTATTAAGTCTGACAGTTTATGCTACGTTTAGTTTCTCAAAACACCATGCATATTCATTATGTATTTTGAACTTCTATTGCACCGTACATAGCCAACCATGCTAATCGGAGGTGCTGGGGAAAGATAACAGGGTGAACACGAGTAGATTAAGTACAAGGAACACCATTTGTTGCGTAGTAATATCCTTCATTATTAAAATGGAATAATTTACCTTCCCAGAAAATAAGTGAAAAGCACTTCATATACTGTTATACTTGTGTAAGTTGTGTTGAACCCCCAGCAACAGAAGGTGCCAGGCATGACACAATGAGCATTGTGAGCACAAATACTACGTCAGCGGTGAAGTGTATCCGACTGACATGGACCCATGATCTTTTCTGCACA